CTGTGAAGCTTGTCTCCCTTCATGATTTCGCTTTTGGCTGCCGCTGCCGCCTTGTCTGTGAAGATTGTCTCCCTTCATGATTTCGCTTTTGGCTGCCGCTGCCGCCTTGGCTCCAAGCTTGTCTCCCTTCATGATTTTGCTCCTGGCTGCCGCTGCCGCCGTGTCTCCCAAGCTTGTCTCCCTTTATGATTTCGCTTTTGGCTGCCTTGCAAGCTTGTCTCCCTTCATGATTTCGCTTTTGGCTGCCGCTGCCGCCTTGTCTCCCAAGTTTGTCTCCCTTCATGATTTCGCTCTTGGCTGCCGCTGCCCGCTTCTCTCCCAAGCTTGTCTCCCTTCATGATTTCGCTTGTGGCTGCCGCTGCCGCCTTGTTTGTGAAGCTTGTCTCCCTTCATGATTTCGTTTTTGGCTGCCGTTGCCGCCTTGTCTGTGAAGCTTGTCTCCCTTCATAAGTTCGCTTTTGGCTGCCTCCCTTAACGATTTCGCTTTTGGTTGCCTTCCAAGCTTGTCTCCCTTCATGATTTCGCTCTTGGCTGCCGCTGCCGCCATGTCTCCTAAGCTTGTGTCCCTTCATGATTTCGCTTTTGGCTGCCGCTGCCGCCTTGTCTCCCAAGCTTGTCTCACTTTATGATTTCGCTTTTGGCTGCCGCTGCCGCCTTGTCTGTGAAGCTTGTCTCCCTTCATGATTTCGCTTTTGGCTGCCGCTACCGCCTTGTCTCCCAAGCTTGTCTCTCTTCATGATTTCGCTGTTGGCTGCCTCTGCGGGCTTGTCTTCCAAGCTTGTCTCCCTTCATGATTTCGCTTTTGGCTGGGAGCCTTCTGCTTTGCACAAGCGATCCGTACTTTCCAATTGCGAAATGCGTAGGGCTGGAAAAGATTTGCTGAAAAGCGCTTTTGCTATGGTGTCTAACTTTTCTTGAAATGCTATCTGGGGTCTATGCCGGCAAAATTGTTCGCAAGGCCCACAATGTGAGCATGTGTGAACCGCTGCGGGTTGCGGTGGGATAAAGAGAGAGCCACATATTGGAGCCACTGATCAAGGAATCGGGGGGGCCTCACTGCAACATGCGTTTGGGTGTGACTTTCCTGGGAAGAGTTCCAACTACTCTTGTATGATTGAAATGGTTGATTGAACGAACCCAATGTTCTCCTTCAACACAGACAAATGGAAAGTGGACGGCACGCGCGACCCTTTCTGTCGCAGGCTTGGCCAAGACTCCTTGCACCACATCTCTACGCAGCCCTTGCTCCGGAATGTCTCCGGCATACAAGTCTGAGGCCAATGAGTTGTTTTGCTCGTGGAGTCTTCCATCCTTTCACGGCCTTCCCACCATCCATCTGCCAATCAGCAGGGCTGGTGGGTCAGTGCCAATATCTTTATGCTTTGGAGGTCGCGGGCGACCTCCCAATTTTTAGAAATGGTTGTTGGACATTCGCGCTGCTCCATGCTCAGCATTGCTGGGGAGAGTATCCCCGCATTGTCCTCAAAAGTGCTCGCCTTCGCTGCCACAAGAATCCCTTCCAAACTTGAAACTGGAGTAAACCATCTCATGGGTGTCTTATTGGTGCGATTAATATGATAAGAGTGTAGATGGTGGCTGCATGGTTTGGTTTGTTTATGTCTGTCTATGGTGCCCAGACTCTGGTAGTCTTTAAATAGAGGAGGGTGGAACTGCAAAACCCATTGGTGGTCAAACTGATGTGTTTTTTGCCCTGTTTGGGACCCTCAGGGCGGCCTCTCCTCCTGCGGCCGAGTGGGAATCGCCCGAGGCTCGGTTTCTATGGCAATGCCACCGGGAGCGCGGCAGAGGCGAAAAGCTGGGACTCAACCTCGCGCGGTGTCCGGGAAAAGAATTAGTAACTAGCCAATGGAAAGTCGACGAAAGTGGTGTGGAAGAAGGTTTTTTGGGGCTGCTCCACACCGATAACTGAGCAGGATTTTGCATGTTTGAAGTGGTTGACCGGCCACAATCCAGACACAACCAGACCAGAGTAAGACCTTGGTGTCCAGCGATGGCATTTTGAGACGCCGAACTTTGTTCTGTGCACGTATGCTCAGGTCGGACCCACAAGACCTTGAGTTTGCTGACTATAAGAAACAGGGGGACCCGAAGGTGTCACCGTTGGACCCGTAGGTGCTTCTGGTTCCCGAAGGACTCAAACACGGCACATTCGGCATGTCCTTCCTTCAGCCCTCGCTCGTTTAAACTTGAGAACATGTGTGGCCTCCGCAGTCTCAGCTGCCACAGCGGCGCAAAGTGGTTTGTATGCACTGCATATACACACACATACACCAAGACCACTCTTTTTCTCTTCCAAAACCAAACAGCAAGAAGGAACCCAAAACACATGTAGGGAGCCATACTGCTCACTCCCAACTTTTCACATTGTGCACATCAGTGACCCACTAAACCTTTCCTTTCCCTTTCCCTTTTCTTTCCTTTGCCTTTGCCTGGACCCATGTGTTTGGTTCTTCCTTTTCCTTGCTCAAAGAAACGCAATGGGGGGTGCGGGCTGGACGGCTCGAGGACGCATCTGCAAAGAGAATCGACTCATGAAGACCATTTCATCATTGTCCAGCCACATCAGATGAAGAAATCCATTTGTCGGATGGCCACCTCGCTCGTGCTTGTTGCTTTGTTTTGGTTTTTGTTGTTTTGTGTTGTTTGGTTTGTGTTTTGAAAGGGGGAGAACCGGACCGTAACACTGCAGTTTATTTATTGATGGTTTGAACAAGTTTTGTAGCGTTTGGTTTCACAGTTCCAGTTCTATAACCTGAGCCCGCCATTTGGCACGATCTTTGGTGCTCCATCACTCAAATTGACAAACACCCAGGGCAGAGCAAGTGTCATGATCACTTGCCATTTGTATCAATTTGTTTGTTTCATGTCATGTTTCATGTCGTCCTGCACTTGTGCAGGCGCTGGCCATGAAGGACGGGGAATAATGTGACCTGTTTCCACCACAGCACTGATCCAACATGATCCAACGCAGGCGCTGGCCACCATAGGAAACAGCAAACACCAGGAACCAGAGTTGCCATTTCGCTTCAATTTCCTTGCGCAAGCTGAGGGCCCACTGGCCTTTGAGAGCCCTAAGATTGGATGGTGAGGCAAGCAATTAGAGCTTCTCCTGGCTCACGTGGGTGGACCATGCACCTTTATATAGTCCAAAAACTGGATGTGGATGGCTACCTGACTCTGGCTTAGCAGCCGTTTCTGAGCGTTGGGTTCAGAACTAGCCCTCCAGCATCCTCGTTGGCATCCGATACCACTCCTTCCCACTGGACGCTGTTTGACTCAGAGGACGCCCACATTCTGATCCTCGTTGGAGCGCTCAGCCCAACGACACGAGGGACATAGGAAGACGGCTGGACTCGACATTCTTCGGAAAAGGTGTGCTGTTTCTTTTGGGTGCTGCGTTCTGGCCCCCAGACTGTATAGAAACAGATAGAACATAAGTGGTATTATCGTTTCGATTCAGGCACCGAAAGACCAAAGAATCTAACATTACATGATCGGCATTTGACCATTTGCCCACGGTATTGCCCACGGTATTCCTGCCGTCGTTCGTCCTCTTGATGCTCCCTGCCATCGATGATTCGTTCTCACCGCCCCAAGGTCGCGCGCTTCCAGAGCGAAGCAGGTGGTGGTCGCTGGGCGCTCCCCGTGCAGCTGTTCGGCGGCGGGGAGTCGGAGGCTGAGGGTGTTTGTCCTGGGTGGCTGAAGGTGTAGGCTGGATGGACAAAGTTGTGAGGCAACCAATCCCATCATTTGAGTCATTCAGCTGCCTTTTTGAAAACACAGATCTGGACCACATGCAGTGGGCTTGGGGAAAATGTGAAGGTCAAAATGATGGGGTGACACGCTTTGAAGCGGGAATGGATTCACTGGAGCCATCCTTTGACAGTTTGGTGAACCAGTACAATACAGTAACTGGAGGGCATTTGGAGGCTGGGTGGCTGTTTGCAAGTTGCAAAAGTTGCTTTTGTGATCTTTTGTGTTTTTTTGAAATTTGAAACTGATGTGTCGAGATACTCACGGATTTGAATGGATTCGCTTTAAACTCGTCTTCGCGTTTGCCAGTTGGGTGCCAGGGCTGTACCAACACATACCAACACCATGGACCATTTGATTGCTTTTGATTGAGCCATGTGCAGGTGGCTGCAGCTCACTGCCTACCGAAATGAACAACAGGAACTTCACTCAAAAGTGCTGCAGATGGATCCCCTCCATGTTCCTGTGCTGGCCCTAAGCTGAGCAGCCTGGAACATTGACTTCTTTCCATCTCCTTGTTTCAGATTCTGAAACCCTCAATATCTACAGTACCCCTTGGGAACCCCAGGCCAAATCTTGTGAGCCGGTGAGAAATCTGGCCTGAGGAATGCCTTCCCAGCCAGCATCGAGCAGGAGGTGTGGGAAAGAACAGGTTGATACTGGAGTTAAGACTCCCTCAGCCCCTAATATGTCCCACCACGAAGAGGAAGATCGTTTTTCTAAAGCGGTTTTACAGGGGGTTGTGAATTGGGAGCTTTGGATTTGCGTCATGTTCGCGTCATCTTCTAGCAGGCAAATGCACAGCCCGCATTAGCGCAACTCCAGATCAGCATGACTTAGTTTAGCGAGCAAAAGTGCAATTCCATTTACTGTCCGGGAAGGTGTGAGACTTAATCCCAACACAGGGGGGGGGCGCAGTAGAATATGTGGTGTGCACCCCCCAGTTGTATTGGATATCCACCGGAACCAGAATCAGCTTTGTGTCCCTCAATGTCACAACCCTGCATCAGTGAATCAGGTTTCCTGAGATAGAATTACCAATAAAGCAACTCCTTGTCCCGTCCTTGCCTCCAAAAGTTCAATAAAAAGAAGAATAGAAACCTTGGCTCAGTCATTGGAATCGGCTCATTTGGGTATTGTAATTGAGTCGTATTTACAACCCCAACGCCATCTAACACCCCTTAGTTTCACTACAATCCTAGATTCATAGCATAGCAATTTCCTTCAAAGCATTGTTCACCTCGCTGTTTCAGCCTTGGCCCTGTCTTTTTCCGCCTCGGCAGCCGCCAGGTCTTAGTGCCTCCCTTCTGCAAATACCACTTCCTCCCACAGCTGCAGGCCCGTGCTGGATCTGGAAGACTTTGATCCAAGTCAGGAATAATAGATATGGGGAGTTAGGTCAGACATGTAAGTAACAAATGGAAACCATAAGCAATTCAATAGATAATATCACTGTATGATATACAGTGTGTCAAAATTCTTGGAATCAGATCTGCAGAACTTTTAAGTACCTGCAAACTTGGTACCTGTGCATGGGAGCAGTATAAGTTCAAGGAGTTGGAGACATGGATTTTTCCAATAAAGTTATGGGAGAATTATGCACGTGGGTGCATCTGCTCAAACTCAAAGCATCCTGGCAGCCACTCCCATACCACTCCCATACCACTGACTTACATTCCCCATACCACTCCTATAAGGATTTTCCCTATACCACTTCCATACCACTGACTTACATTCCCCATACCACTCCCATAAGGATTTTCCCTATACCACTTCCATACCACTGACTTACATTCCCCATACCACTCCTATAAGGATTTCCCTATACCACTTCCATACCACCCCCCATACCACTCCCATAGAATAATAGAATAATGATATATACCTGGTATATATATACCTGGTATATAAAGCCTCCCATAGTGGAGGTACCACTTTGATAGGTACTTAAAAGTTTCCTTGATCAGACTCCGAAACCAAAACAGACTCCAAGACTCACAGGCATCTTGCAGTAGTAGGATTGTATAACATGTTTTACAAATTGGTGATTATACTCCACGCAAAGAAGATCTTGGCCAGTACACTCAGCCTTCATCGGCTTGCCGATGATTCGATTGGCCAAAGGCCGGTTTCCGGCAGGCTGCGCAATCACAAGACTTGGTATTTGGCGGGTGTGGAAGACAGGTGCTGCTAGAGCTTCTTGCAGTGTGTACTGACCATGTTGTAGCAATGTAATGACTTGGGTCTCAAGACCCAACACAACTATTGGCAAAACAAGACGATGGCACTCCTCAAGCATTGCACCTCCTAGAGCGCAGCGGAAGAAATGCGATTGATTCCATGAAATATTTCTTGTTTGTCCACACTTTCTGGGCCGAAATAATCACGAAAGCTAGCATGCTAGCTGAGTTTTTCTTTGCTTTAGCAATGTTGTGGTGGGAGGGGCTGCGTGCCTTAAAGATTGATATATCAAGCTAACCCCCCCCCCCCGCGGTTCAACTCCCAGCTGCGCCGCTTCGCTTATTGTTGTGGTGCATACCACCATTCCACTGAATGAATTGCGTGATAGCTCTGCTGGTGTTCAGACAGCGGCAAGGTGTGCATATGTTTGTGCAATTGTTTGCATACGGTGAGCAAGCTCCATTTCACCTCCATGCTACGTCGTTCCTTCAGCCTCCGTCCAGGGTTGGCGTCGTTTTGCTGGTTCGAGTGGCTCATTCAATGCAGAAGTTAACAAACTGATAGGTATAATGATAATGAGTTGCGTGTATACTTGAGATCATTTGAGGTAGTTCATGCTTTGCTACTTGTTGCGGCTTGGTGCTGCTGCTGCTGTTGCTGACGACGCCGCTGCTGCTGCTGCTTGCTGCTTGCTGCTTGCTGCCGGTGATGCTGCTGCTGCTGCTGCTGCTGCGGCTTGGTGCTGCGCTGCTGCTGCGTGGTGCTGCTGGCTGGCTGCTTGGCGGTTGCTGCTGGCTGCTGGCTGCAGGCGGCTGCTTCTGCTGCTGCTGCTGCTGCTGGCTGCTGCTTGCTGCATAGGACTTGTACTTCACCCTTACAAGTTGTTTACCCTATTTCTAACCTAGTGCATGCATAAGCGGGTGGTAAATTTACTCCCAAGGCTTGCTATAACCATACACAGGCTATTTCCTCAAGACACTCTATTCCTGATACCTTTTACATCCTTTTTACCAGTAATTATCCTGCACTACGGACGCCCTAGTGTATGCACAGTCCTTGTGATGCTTACCCCTCGTTCCGGCTCAAGGCATACATAAGCGGGGGGTAAATTTACCCCCCAGATTTGCCATAACCATAAGCCGGTTATTTCCTCAAGACACTCTGCTCCTTATACCTTTTACCAGTGCTTATCCTACACTACGGACGCCCTGGTGTTTGCACAGTCCTTGTGATGCCAGAAATGCTTACTCCTCTTTCCGGCACAAGGCATACATAAGCGGGTGGTAAATTTACCCCCCAGATTTGCAATAACCATAAGACGGCTATTTCCTCAAGACACTCTATTCCATACACCTTTTACCCGTGCTTCTCCTACACTACGGACGCCCTAGTGTTTGTACAGTCCGTATGATGTCAGAAATGCTTATCCCTCAAGGCATACAAAAGCGGAGGGTAAATTTACCCCCCAGATTTGCCGATCACGCATCTTCGTGCCTGCCAACGAGTGCACCCGGGTTGTTCCAATGTACCCTTCCCAGTCCCAGTCAGCGATGTCACATTTACATTCTTTAGCGCAAAGTATGTACATAGCAACCTTCCTCCCAGAACATGTACTCACTACATGCTTTGCCGACTATGTGACTAGTACATCCGGTGCGATTCGGCTAGCTTTCGATCTCCTCCCCCTGGCCTCAAGTTTGCTAGGTCCACGGCAGATATGACGCCGTGTCTGAGGCACAGGTATCATGGTCCACGTGTTTATCGTCCACTGGCTTTAACAGTAGGAAACACACAGTTTTTGGTAATTACACTGGCGTTCAGATGTGGAACCTCCTGGCCACTGCGCCTCATGCCAGGAAAAGTGGTTCTGAAAACCCAGAAACTACTTTGCTCTAGCATTCAGGACATCTCTTTCTGTTACATCTTCTAGCACTATTTTAAAAAAATCATTGGAAAGAGCCTGTTTTCTACATGTTTAAAAGTCAAAAAAATACAGGTCCAAAAAAGCCAATCCCAAAAGTCAAAGTCAAAAAAAGTCAAATCAGCAAATTTCAGAAAGTTAAAAAAAAACAATTTGCACAGATGCGACTTTCTTGACTTTTTTGATGTGGTTTTGCATTTTCTTTTCGATGTTTGACTTTTTTCGCCTTTTTTTCCACTTTTTTGACTTTTTCGAGCGGTTGACATTTTTGGACGTTGTTTTCAACGTTTTGTTTGGCTTTTTTTGATTGTTTTTTTTTGACTTTTGCGAGCTGTGGTCTATGGTTGACTTTTTTTGACTTTTCAATTTGACTTTTTTTGACTTTGACTTTTCCAGTTGACTTTTTTGACTTTTTTTCGACTTCTTTTTAAGTCAAGGATTCTGGCCTTACCATATGACAGTTTTTTTAATTCTAGCATGTACGCCCCCAAGAACCTGAGGACCGTCTGGCCCATGTGTCACTGCCATGTGCAGTCCCATGTCCATGTTGACTGCGCATCTCAGTGACGTGACATCCCCGTTCATATCTCATTCGTCCTAAACTCTTGCCTCCTTGACCTAAACTCAGCTCTGAGGCAAAAACGACACGGATCGAGAACAGATCGAAAGCGAACATAGTATATCCCCCCACCCACCCACCTAGCGCAGGGGCGACAAGGAGACCATTGCGCAGTGTTGCCAGGTAAAAGAACACGGTCTTGAAAGAGGTCACAGTCAAATGATGCGAAAGAAGATAGCGCGAAGTGCAGTCACGGCTCACAAATGGATTGTGTTTGCCTTGGGCCATAGCAGCAAGTCGGTGTGAAACACTAGACATGGAGCTTGCATGCATTAAACAAACAGAAACACAAGCGGGGGAGTGCTGGTGGGGACTAAACACCAACCGCAACCACACGGCACGATATCAGCCGTGGGCCAACTACTGATTGCAATCGGTCGGAAAATCACTAACTTTCTCTTGGGAGGGAGCTAAGGAGCTACTATGTTCGGGGCCTGTTGAAGTGGTTTGGGAAAAAAGGGTTGACCATAACATCAGCTGCAACAACAGCAGCAGCAACAACAGCGGCAGCGGCAGTCGCCTTGAGAAGTTGGGTGGTGGGCCGTCCGGATGGCCGCTTAGTTCTTAGATGGGCTTTGCTGCCGCCAGCATCTCCAAAAACATCAGACCGGTTTCCATTAGAACCATCTACACGACAAATGTCAAGGAGAGATGTTTCCTATTAATGGCAGTGCTCACATCATATAACACAATTTCCCAACAGCGGTAGCAGCCCTTTCGTTGAGTAGGATGCTTTTGCGTGCACAACCTACAGCCCAATCCAAAGTGTTCCTTTTCAAGACTGGATTTGGAATAGCGTGTGCGGAAGAGTGTGATATCCACGGTTCCGCAGCCATTTTGCACCATGTCCTCTTCAAGTGAAGAGGACGTGGAAAGTCAGATGTCAGCTGCAGGGGGGCGCAGTGATGAGTCAGCTGATGAATCAGCTGCAGGGGATGCTGACTCGTCAAGCGATGACACCAGCGGTGAGAGTGAAGGATCGGAATCTGAAGCTGAATCGGCTGCGTCTGAAGTGTCTGAAGTTGGGTCTACAGGCTCCTCAACAAGCTCTTCGAGAAGCTCTTCAACTTCGTCTTCTTCAGAGAGCGCCTTGCAAAACCATGTTGCAGCAAAGGAAATTGACTACGTGTTCGAAACAAACTCTGAACACAAAAAGCGGCATGCGTACCCATCCAAGATCCGCTGTTGCAGTCGCTGCTTCTACCTCCACAATGTGGACCGCTGGCAGAAGAGCGCCAGCTATGAAGACCCGAAGACTCAGCGAAAAGTCATTTGGCTTTTTGACACACCATGCGCTGAAAAGGATTTCTGGCACATTGGACGCAGTGTTCACGAAAGCTAGCCTTAGCTAGCTGGAGTTGCTCTTGCTTTAGCAAGTTAAGTGACGGGGTGGACGCACCTCAGAAACCTCAAATAATTGATTAAATCAATCTTATGGACCCCCCCCCCCCCCC